TAATGATATTGTCCCTTGTGTTGTGCCTGGGATGCGGTAGGAGTGAACTGATTCATCCTTGCCTCCAGATTATCAATCTTGGATGACAGCTTGTCAATGACTCCCATCAACGTTGATACTTCAGAGGTTGGTTGAAGTGAAGCCATGACCTTGGCTGGTACAGGTTTCTTCTGTACTTCCAGTTTCCTTTGCTCCTGGTCATATTCAATTCTCCTAATAGCTACTCGGAGCTGGTCGAAATCCTGTATGGTGTCAAATTTGTGTCCTGTTGAGTCCTTCAGTTCCTGCCTGAGTCCTGACCAGAAGACTGTCCTGAGAACAGAGCTTGATCTATCCTGTTGGATGAAACCTTGTAAGACAAGCCTGTCTAACATGTCCTCAAGTCTGCAACCCCATGCTGTAGCATCCTCCTTTTCCCCTTGGCGTGCACCATAAAACTGGGCCATAAGGACTTCACCTTGCTCCATGACTGATGGACTGAATACACTTTTCAGTTTATTAAGAACTGAAGTGAGTGATGCAGTGTGACCTAACCTCATTATGACACGGGCAGCTTCACCCCTAAGGGCTCTCCTGAGCGCCTGTAAGATCTCATCCTCAGAATGAGTCTTACTGCAAACGAAACTTTCAACCTCGTAGTGCCACACATCAAATGAAGTTTCACCTTTGGCCGTTGGATCACCAGAAAAACAAGAAAAACGAGGTGCTTGTTTAAAACTAAACGAACTGGGCAAACTTTGGGTTGGTGGAATGGCATGATGCTCTGACTCCTCAGATTTAAACTGTGGACTACCAGTAGCGCCCTGCAACTCCTGTATTGCTACCATACCTGCTACCCAATCCCTGAGCTCATCCTCAGTCTTACCTTTTGGTGTAACACCTAGCTTCTCAAATCCCGCAAGAAAAGAAGCCAACTCATCAGAAGATAATTGGGACATGATGATAATGTAGGTATACAATTATGAATGAATCCGAAGTGAAGGTAATAGCTTGACCTTAAATGAACACGAACAAAAAAATGTAAAGCTTATAAGACCTACATGGAGAAACAATGCATAATTAACGTAAATGTAATCCTGTATACAACTTAAGGGTTAAGAGTTTATAGTTTAGTTTTGCTTTATCAACTATCAAGTTTACGATAGTAATGGTTTAGGTTTAGTTAGGTAACAAAATTAGTTTAGTTTACCAAGTGTTGTGGGTTAGTAACCTTTACCTGACAACTTAATCCATACTGTACTGATACAACTGACTCACAAGACCACACTCAAAGATTAAACAGGATAGGACAGGTGTGCTGAAAGAAGTGTAGTGCAAACTTACCTCATATAATATTAATTAAATACTAATATAATATTAACTATATATAATATTAAGTAACTATGTATAATATTAATTAACTATGTATAATAGTAATTAAATGCTGAGAATTAGTGACAACACAACTGAACAGTAACTTAACAATATACTCTTTTATGGTATATGCCAAGATTAGCTAAGTCTTAAATAATAACACTACCTAACAGTTCAATCAATAGGTCTGTGTTCTTGCAAAAGATGTCAACTAATAAACCAAGTAATGAATCAGTTAATTACAGTAGAATGTATAAACAAAGTAGTCTGTCTAAAACTAACTAAACTAAACTAACTAATACAAACTAAACTAAGGGCCCATAATACTAATTATGTACAATCACCGCAGCAGAGCTCAATATGGCTGCACAAAAAAACATACCCATTCTCATGCGCACATAAACAACATGGGTGAAAAAAACATGTCTGTTAAACAATAATGGCACCAAAGAATTATCAAAAATATGAAATACAGCTGTAAATATTAAGCATATCCAGTGTCAAAAGCCTGTATACAGACGCAAGTGTCTCTGATCACCAATAGGGAGAGTTCATGTACACATATTTACACATGTTCACTTCATAATAGTGTGGGGCACAACTTCATACACTGTCACTGCAGGGGCTGCTCATGATGTTCCTCTCACTCTCCTGGATCCATTGAAAATCAAGATCCCACCAGGGATGCCATTGTAACAGCGGTACTCTGGTCCTCTCAAAGATAAGAGAGTACTTGTTGGGTTCAAGGGATTTATTTTCAATGGGCGTAGAGAACTACACGGTAGTCCGGATTTGCCCTAAAACATACATAATTTGATATAAATATCATGGGTATCATTATAAAGGCACTATATAACAACAATACTAATTATACATTTAAATCTATAATTCCTTACTTTTGGCATATATATATATTAACAAATCCTTCCAGATAAAACAAATTACACTCTCTCTATATATATATAGTTAATCATACATAATTAATAAAACATAAATAGCATACCTCGTCTCAGGGACGCAGGCTGGAAACTCTCTTATATAGAGATGTGCAGTGAAATAGCCCTGCACAAATAAGTATACTACATATAAGTATACTACATATAAATATATCACATAGCCACAGTTACACTTGCATGTATGGAATACAAGCATTATAAATTCTACAAAATACTATACATATATACATAATACATATACATATATCACTTCTAACCAGTTTAAGTCTATTTAATTAAATGTACATTTGGCTATTATCTCAGTAAAATACACAGTTAAGTTGAATTAAGAATACATTAAAATGTCATAATACAATGCTAGCCAAAATACTATATCCAACAACAATGATTAAAATACATAACCTAAGCTTCCAGATAAATAAAGTAATAATTAAATGAACTTACCCTATATGATTCAGTGCAGAGAACGTGTTGAGAACGTGTTAAGAAAGTATGTCCTGACTGCTCAGTAGAAGTGTGATCAGTGTCCCCACATAATTGCAGAGAACATGCAACAAAGCTAGATCACAAAGAGCACCTAATCACAGGCCAAGCCTGTGACCAACCCATTGACAATAGCCAAGAAAGAAATGGCTGAACTACCCAAGCTATATACAGAACTAGCTTACCTGTGAATTAGTAGTTTTTGTGCAAGTGTTGAAGTTAACACAAGTATTTAGTAAAATAAATGTTAAATATTTAGGTTAGCTTATTAATTTAATTCATGTTTGGTTACTATGATCATACTTTAAAATCTAACAATATTCTATTTACAAGCACGAGTAAGCAAAACACCCAGATCATCATATCTGATTTCTGTATCTCGAGGGGCGGTCGGGTAGCCTAGTGGTTAAAGTGTTCGCTCGTCACGCCGAAGACCCGGGCTGATTCCAGACAAGGGTACAATGTGTGAAGCCCATTTCTGGTGTCCCCTGCCATGATATTGCTGGAATTTTACTAAAAGCAGTGTAAAACCATACTTACTCACTCACTCACTCACTCACTCACTCTATCTCAAATTAAAGCTTCAACGACCTTTTCCGAAAATTATAAATAATGAAGTCCTCTCTATTATATTGTTGTGGATAGTTCATACACCCTGTTGTTTTTGAGCACCATGGCATCTACACCCAAAAGGCCACACAAGCAGTGTGTTTACATGCTATCGCAGTGACAGAACTTTTCTTGTCAAGGGCAGTTAATTCACATACAATCTCATTAAAATCAGATCTAAATTTTCGTTACCGCTAAACAAAGATCTGAGGACATCCCATTACGGGTCACGTAAGAACGACCTTTCACGCATTTTGACCAACCAAGAAATGACTGATAAGTAATCAACATTGGCAAATCAGAAGGTAGCTTTCTCGAGCTTTACGACACTAGTTTCAAACTGGCGACTACGCTTCGAAACATATTTTGACGTATTCTCAATAAAAGAAATTTAAAACTGATAAGATGAACATTCTGGAATGGCTAATAGATGGCTTAGATTGTATGGATATAATCATAAAGCCTGTAACTGTCGTTCGGAATACCCCGCGTTAAATATATATTGTGGTTGCATGATTAGAAAACACAATCTGACTGTCACTTTCATCATCTGGTAAGCGACGCTCTGACTGGTTGGATGAAAGGTCGTTCTGACGTGACCCGTAATGGGATGTCCTCAGATCTTTGTTTAGCGATAACCAGAACTAAGATCTGATTTTAATGAGATTGATTCACATAGAGAGTGAGAGTGGTTTCCCTTTGACTACGAACAATGAAACATCTGATGAAGTGAGCACCATAGCATGTATAGCCTTGATGGCATACTGTTTGGGAATCATTTAGTCCATGAATAAATATTCCATTAGGAATAATAACGGAAAACAATCCAAGTTTATTCTTCAGTGTCAGTGACTGTTGTGGACAAAATACTTAAGATATATAAGGTTGGTTTACAATCTTGGTCAAAAACCATTGTGTCAAACTTTGATTTGTCGAACTTATTGTTATCTCGAAGTAAAAGCTTGTTCCCAGCGTACTCCTTCTTTATTCATCATTTTCGGTTATGTCGAACCTCGATTAACTTGAATTATTTACATTGGTCCCTTCAACAGGTTCAACTTTGACACAATGCTGTTTGACTGTAGGTTGAATCCCATTACATTACTTCCCAAATCATCAGTTTTGCTATGCTTGTTGTAAGTGGCCACAAACAGGATCAGGTGGTCAGACTCGCTGACTTGGTTGATGCATGTCATCGAATCCCAATTGCGTGTGTATTTAGGCATGAGGTTCAGTTCTCATTCAATGTGTTTCGAGATGGACTTAGACACAAAACAACATCATGTCTAATGCTTGAAAACATGATTACACATTTTCATTGTGAGTATATGTTCAGGATTTCCTTCAAACATCTACCAAAAGGATGTTTGTTCAATCTCATCAAAATCAGATCTTAGCTTTCTGATTGGCTAATGGTGACTTCGTGTCTGACGTGACACGTAATATGATGTCTTCATATCCTTGTTTAGCAGTAGAGAGAGCTAAAATCAGATCTTAGCTTTCTGATTGGCTAATGGTGACTTCGTGTCTGACGTGACACGTGATATGATGTCTTCAGATCCTTGTTTAGCAGTAGCGAGAACAAAAATCAGATCTTACCTTTCTGATTGGCTAATGGTGACTTCGTGTCTGACCTGACACGTAATATGATGCCTTCAGCATGTTCAGATCCTTGTTTAGTAGTAGCGGGAACTAAACGCCGATCTTAATTAGATTGGACGTTTGATCAATGTGTTTGATGCAATCTATCTGACATATGGCCATACCGAGATGATGCACATATTTCTTTCCCTGGTAGATAGTTTATCTTTCGCTAGATGTGATATCCTACATAGTGACAGTTTGCAGGAGATTGCTTAACATGCTTCAAGTGCAAGTCTCGTGGGTCTCGCTTTGCAGAATTGGATAGATCATAACATTGTTAATGAAAATATCACATTCAAAACATAGAAAGCAGAGAGTAAATAAAGTCAATTTGCACTTCAGTCCTGCCTATCAATTGTTCAAAGATTGAAACAAATGTACAGCAGAACCTGAAGACACATTAAATCATCCCCAAACAAAAAGCAATCTGTCACTTACTATGGATTAAAACAGGTTGCCAGTGTTTGATGCACTGAAGAATTTCAACAGTCAGGCCAGCTCCCAGTCTGGTTGTATTTGCCTTGGATTTCTCTTAATAGCATTAATGGGTTTCTTCTGTCTGCTCATTTGTTTGATTACTGTGTCCACAACTTATGTCAAGTTCCAATCTCATTAAAATCAGATCTTAGTTCTCACTATCGCTGAACAAAGATCTGAGGACATCCCATTGCGGATCACGTCAGAACGACCTTTCATCCGACCAATCAAGGCGTCCCTTACCAGATCATGAAAATGACAGTCGGAATGCATTTTCTTATAAATGCAACCTCGAAAACGTTAACATGGGGAATTCCAAATGTCAGTTAAGGCCCATACGACTGATTCCGTCAAAATCATCATCTATCTCTCGCTTCCATGGGATAAACATTTGAACGGAAGAGGCGTTGCATGGTATGTGGGAAGCACTGCCATACAATCTCAACCATATATTAGATATTCCGGAATGTTCGTTTGTTCAGTTTTCAAAATTTTAATCGAGAAATGTGTCAACATATTTTTCAAGCGTAGTCTGAAATGGATGTCGCCAGGTTGAAACAGGTTCTGTAAAGCTCGAGAAAGCTGCTTTCTAATTGGCTGATGTCGACTTCTTGTTAGTCATTTTAGAAGTCGGTCAAAGTTCGCCAAAGGTCGTTCTCACATGACCCGTAATGGGATGTCCTCAGATCTTTGTTTAGCGGCAGAGAGAACTTTGATCTGATTTTAAGGAGATAGGTCAAGTTCTGCCTTATTAGTTGTGTCATTATAGCTGTTAAGCATCACAAGATCACACATAGTAGATAGACGCTGCCAACCAATCTACATATCAACCAATCTACATATCAGCCAATGACAACAATTGCCATGCACCCATGCACCGATAGCTTTAGGCCACGCCCCTAAATAGTTTTGTTTGGGAATCTGAATACGGAGTTCTGTAATGTTATGACTTTTTCTTAAAATATACTTGCGACGTATTTGCGACACCCTGCAACTGCAGTGGGGTTAATCGATAGCCGGTGCGAATCAGGCATTGTGAAGATGGTTAAGGATGTATGCTGGTATGACTTGTAATTGTAGCGGCCACAAAATTTCCAAGTCCCGTGATGGGATTCGAACCACGGACCTTCCGATCAGAGGTCGGACACCTTGTCCACATGACCATAGAGGTTAACCCCGTCAGCAAGCTGACAAGGTAAGGATGTCATCTGTAGGATGACTCCACACCCTGCTACATAATCATAACTTCGTGTGTGAGGGTGTTCCGACGACATAACAAAAGTCAAAGGTGACACAACATAATAATATTTTAAATCGTAAAATACTATTAGTCATACTGTAAGGCAAAACTGTAACCAAGGTAACACAGCGAATGATTTGCCTACATGCATCTACAGTAAAGTAAGAATTCAGTGCAGTGGTCATCAAGTACCCCAAGCACAATAACATGCACACTGTCACCTATTATTTTCATTTTGAAAATTAAATAAAAAGATAGATTTTAGAAATACTATTTTAGAACAAGAGTCATCAGAAAATGACAAATCACCCTGTCCCCACAAATCATCTGTCTCTTACAGTAAGTCCAACTTGAAGAGAGAATTTCTATCTACTCTGTCTTTCCGTATACAAGAGTTAAAGTTAGAGTTATTGAGCTATAATAATAATACCATGGAATTGGGATTTATAGCATTGTATTTCTATGTCAGGTACACCCCAATATGAACAGTCACTGTCAAATTTGTTGTCGTGGAAACGGGGATTTTTTTTTAGAAAAATCCCTAAATCATGTAAATAGCAAAAGGCACCAGTTGCCAACTTGGAAGTGAGTGTGTAAAGTTTCATGATAGAATACCTTTCAGTTTCAAAGATCAGGTCCGGACTAACACACCACTGTGAACAGAGTCAAAGTCAATTTGTGGCCATGGAAACGGAAAAAATAAAAATTCTATCAAATAGCAAAAGGCACCACTTTATCCCCTTATTAATACACATACAGGTACCAAGTTTGGGTGAAAAATCTTGAATAGTTTTTTAGTTCTGTTCCGGAAACAACACCAACCTCTGTTTCAGCTATGTCTAACTTGTTTCCATGGAGCCAGGGAAAAATAAAAGTTTGAAAAAGGTGCCACTTCAGCTCCTCGTTAAAACATGTACTAAGTTGGTTGGAAAATCTTTCACGGTTTTCAATTTATGCTCTGGAAATTAAATACAGATGGACAGACAGACAGACAGATAGACCAGATAATGACTAGATCCCCTCAATTATATGCCGGGGAATAGAAAAATTAAAAACTCTTAATAAAACCTGTGGACATCTTTAGGCATGGTTTGATGCATGCTAAATTTGGTGAGTAGTATGTGGTGTTGGAAACATCTGCTAACCTGCTATCCTGTGGCCATTAATATTTCAGAAGGACCAGTAATTGTTCAAGCCTCATGTGTATTAAAATAATGACAACCTACATCACAGGAATTTTGCTAAATTTTGTAGCAGATTCCTGTCCTTAGACACCGGACGACCCATGTCCGCTCCTCCTCCTGATCAAACCGAGATTTTCCCCTTCTGCAGTTTTTTACTCCTTTTCAACCTTTTTTAACATTGTCAAGATTAACTTAATGTACAAGACAGTTATCTCTTCAAACTATTCTGTTCTTTACAATATGAATTCAAACTCTTAGTTATATTGTCACAAATAACAAAGTATTTGTTGCGAAAAGAGTAATGATAGACAAAAAACAACAAGCATGGGACATTTCACTGATACAGGAAAGTTAAAACATACCTGAACATGACATAATGCTATATCCTCCTTGCTGACATCCATCTATGGTTATTGTCATTAGATGATCACAATACAGTCATACAAGCTCCTAATCCCATTTGTCAGTCACACGGACAATAAACTCAACAAATATGAAGTTGATACATTGAAGCAAGCAGTACTGTTATTATCCTATGTTCAACAGATACAGCTGTAAGCTATGCTGCGCTACTTTCTACAGTTCTATCCCTTGCATTAAACTTTATATGGTGTTATTGATTACCATGATCACTATCATGGTAATAGTTCACCAGATATTTGCATGGTTAGAAGTAGTTCGTGGGGAGTCCTGTTTTATGCCAGTCAGCAATATTCAAGCCTCTGTAAATCCTTGATCAAAGCCTGTTTTGAACAATCATCTGCTTTGAATAAATGTCTGCCTTCAAGAATGCCTGTCTTCAATAAGTGTCTGCCTTGAATAAGTGTCTACCTTGAATAAGTGTCTACCTTGAATAAGTGTCTGCCTTGAATAAGTGTCTACCTTAAATAAGTGCCTGCCCTCAATAAACATATGCCTTTAATAAGAATTTGCCTTGAATAAGTGTCTGCCCTCAATAAGTGCCTGCCCTCAATAAACATATGCCATGAATAAATGTCTATGTTGAATAAATGTCTGCCTTGAATATGTGTCAACCTAGAATAAGTGTCTGCTCTCAATACACATAGGCCATGAATAAATGTCTACATTGAGTAAGTGTCTGCCTTGATGAGTGTGTGCCTTGAACATGTGTCAACCTTGAATAAGTGCCTGCCCTCAATAAACATATGCCTTGAATCAGTGTCTACCTTGAATGAGTGTCTACATTGAATAAGTGTCTGCCTTGAAAAAGTGTCTGCCTTGAATAAGTGTCTGCCTTGAATAAGTGTCTACCTTGAATAAGTGTCTACCTTGAATAAGTGTCTACATTGAAAGCATGTCTGCCTTGAATAAGTGTCTGCCCTCAATAAGTGCCTGCCCTCAATAAACATTTGCCTTTGATAAGGGTCTGCCATGAATAAATGTCTGCCTTGAATAAGTGTCTACCTTGAATAAGTGTCTGCCTTGAATAAGTGTCTGCCCACAATAAGCATATGCCTTTGATAAGTGTCTGTCTTAAATAAGTGCCTGTCTTCAATAAGTGTCTGCCTTGATGAGTGTCTGCCTTGAATAAGTGTCTACCTTGAATAAATGTCTGCCTTGAATAAGTGTCTGCCTTGAATAAATGTCTGCCTTGAATAAGTGTCTACATTGAAAGTGTGTCTACCTTGAGTAAGTAAACAATGGAGTCATGGCCAGGAAAACCTGTGGCTGAAAGCATCTGCAACGATCCATGGTGTCGGCAGAGACCATATAATATTATATGGTCTCTGGTGTCGGATACAATGACAAGTCAGCCAGGTCACACATTGTGACCACCCAATCCTCATTCTACACACTTCCTATGATAAGCATGGTGCGCTGGGGACCTATTCTGACCAGGAATCCACAAACAGCAGAGCAAAACTTAGGATACATCCACACATTAAATACTGTATCTGCCCTATGAAGCTGTGACCCTTCTCCAATAAGCACCCCCTGACCCAACTTCTAGACCAATCTGTAAGTCTTTTTCATATATTTATACAATGTTTACATGACAGTCAACATTTTCTTGTGTATTCAACTGAAAAAAGCAGCGTGGTAGGGTACACAATTGCCTCGAAACTATTACCATGGTAACCCAAAAAATATTAGTTTCATTAACGTTTGAACTAAGTTTGTTCACTAACACTCGATAACTTACAAAAGATGCAAATTGTTGTGTATGGAT